CTTGATTAAAAAGGGGGTAGGTCAACTTTCTTACAAGTTGATCTTGCAAGTCCTATTGTTCGGATCTTGCAGTTGTTGAAGAAGCGTGACCTTCGAAGGAACAACAAAGCCAGCACGAGTGCAGTAGCAACATTGGTCTTGCGAAGATATACCGTGCAGAAATTCACACAAGTGTAATTGTTGGTTCATTATTCAACAACCAACTACATAGTGGATTTTGAGGACGTAGAAGGATTACCCCACCTTCGAACCTCGTTAAAGTTTGCGTGTCTCTCTCTTTTATCTTTACTCTAACTTGCAATTACATTAACTGTGAAAACTAACCCATCCATATTGATTACTGCTCACTCTACCCACCAAATTCCGCACACAATCTAAAGTTCTCAAGAACTCTAGATTAACACTTATTTTCACGTTTTTCAAAAGAAACGAAAAAGATTTTAAATTTGTAACAAAGTCTATTCACCCCCCCTCTAGACTTTGTATCTCACCACTTTGGGACCACCAAAAGGTATGTCAGTACTTAAACACAATTTTGTATACTAAAGTATATCAGATTTTTTTACAAATTATATATGCGCTTTTTGTTATCAGAGTTATTCCATTGGTACGAACAACCCTACCCAGACATGCAAGGAGCAGAGAACTTTAGAACAGCATAAAACTCTTTTACAAAGAGAGAGGGTTCATGTGAGTTTATTTTTTTTGTACTAATGTGGATTGGAGTTCAAAATATTAATCACCATTCTTATCCTAAATTAGACCAGAGATGATTTTACAAAGTTTGTATTTGTTATTTATTATCAGAGTAATTTCACTAATGCTGTGAACAAGTTAGGAGAAGGTGGATATAGTGCGTTTACTCCCACGCGTGATAATGCATGTACTGAGCGGAGAGCTGTAGAAAAACAGAAGACGCTTAGAAATCCTGTGAGTTTAACTCTCTAAGTAATATCAATCTTTGCTCTTTAGATTATGAGTCAGATTTTGTACCATAAAGTGTATCACATGTGATATTGTAAAATATATTTTTGTTATTTATTATCAGAGTGTTTTCGTCGATACGACCAAGGAAGACGGTAATTATACTACTTGTACTCCTACGCCTCCCAATGCATCCGCTCAAGAAAGAGCTACAGAAAAGGTATGTCAGTACTTAAACACAATTTTGTATACTAAAGTATATCAGATTTTTTTTACAAATTATATATGCGCTTTTTGTTATCAGATTTATTCCATTGGTACAAACAAGCCAACCCAGACATGCAAGGAGCAGAGAACTTTAGAACAGCATAAAACTCTTTTACAAAGAGAGAGGGTTCATGTGAGTTTATGTTTTTGGTACTAATGTGAGTAAATTCCATAAAAGGTCCTTAATTATAGGTCGTTTTACATATTTAGTCCCTACATATCAAATATTACTAATTTAGTTCCCAATTATTATATTCATTTTTACGAATGGTCCTTTCTTAACAATTCCATTGAGAACGTGGATGAAATTGTAAATTGACACTCTTTTCTCTCCTCAATTAAACTCCCTTCCTCCCCTTGCACTCCTTTCCTAAATTCGTCGCTGGGTTTGAACCCTTGAACCCAAAACCGAAATCATCACTCTTCTCTCAATTGTTTGTCTAACTGGTGGAACCCAAATTCGAAACTAGTAACCTTCATAGATGAGTTTTAATGTTTATTTTCTTTACAATTTCTTGAAACTAACCGATAAAACTCATCCATAAAGCTTATTGGTTTTTATTTTAAGTTCCACCAGAAAGACTAATAATTGAGAGAGGAATGACCATTTCAGTTTTGGGTTTAGAGCTTCAAACTCAGCGACCAGTTTGGAAAAAAGTACGAGAGGAGGGAGGAAGCTTAATTTATGGTAAAAAGAAGTATGAATATACATTTTTATCCATGTTCTTAACAAAAACGTTAACAAAGGATCATTCGTGAAAAATGATATAATAATTAGGGACTAAACTAGTAATATTTGATATGTAGGGACTAAATATGTAAAACGACCTATAACTGGGGATCTTTTCTGGAATTTACTCTACTAATGTGAATTGGTATTTAAAATATTAATCACCATTCTCATCCTAAATTAGACCAGACATGATTTTACAAAGTTTGTATTTGTTATTTATTTTCAGAGTAATTTCACTAATGCTGTGAACAAGTTAGGAGAAGGTGGATATAGTGTGTTTACTCCCACACGTGATAATGCATTTAGTGAGCGGAGAGCTGTAGAAAAACAGAAGACGCTTGGAAATGCAGTGAGTTTAACATTTTTTTTCTCTTAATTGGGTCGCATACTCCTTTTATGATTTTTGTTTCAATGTGTTCATGCATCATAACTTGGATGTTTACTACGAAGTACTTTGTTTTCATCTACTGGATATTTTTTGCAGTAACCACTAGGTAGTAGTCTAGTACTTAAAAAATTGAAAATAGTTTTTATGTTTGCCAATTCGCAGTAGGTATTAGTATTGGCAGATGCTTCCAATGTTTGGCAATGTTTCAAGCATTAGCGCTGGACATATTCGGTTTTTTCAAAACCGACCAAACTGAATCGGTTTTTCTCGGTTCGGTTGGTTCGGTTATAAAGTAACTTCGGTTTGGTTCGGTCGGTTAATGTGGGTAAATTTCTTTTTGGTTAATTCGGTTTTTGGCCGAAACCAACCAAACCGAACCAATGCTCTCCCCTATCTCTGCATAATATTTTGATTGAAGCAAAACACAGATGTGTCACCCCCATGGTGACTAGATTCAAACCCAGTATGTCTTCCCTTTCTTCATTTCCTTCTTGTGTTGTTGTCTTCTGCAAGCTTGTGTTCTTGGGACCCTTCACCGCCTGGAACAGTGGTTTCTCTGGCTTGGGTGCGTCTTTAGGTGTTGCTTTACCCAACGGTTCACCCTTGCTTTCGCCCCTTTGCTTAGCCTCCCGAACTGGCGCCTTAGACGCTGCCAATGGCGTGGGAGTGGGTGCTGTTTGGGCTCCGGCATCTCCAGGTGTAGCATTCTGATCAGTCAAGGACGGCTGTTCAAATCTGGTGGTCTGGGCTACTGCCTTAGTCACGGCAGGAAGTTTGCCCTGACCCTTCTTTTTCCGGCTGGTTTCAGGAACACCCTCTGCCACAACTGTCACGGGAATGGCAGTGGGTTTATTGTGGGCTGTCTCCTTACTCCCACCATCAAGATCTGCCCCGTCCGAGAGAGGAGAAGTGGTCGCTGCCACTGGTTTTGGCAAGACAGCAACACTGTCAACGGCCTCACTGTCATCACCGGTATAACTGATTTTCATGACTAGATAAAGACAGTTTTTTTTACACTTCTGAGTGGTAAAGAATGGGGAGGTAACCCTTCACTTTTCACTGCACACTAATCTCTAAACCGTTGTTTGTTTTTTTGGTGTGTGTGAGAGAGAGAGAGAGAGAGAGAGAGACAGAGACAGAGAGAGAGTGTGTGTGTGTGTGTGCAGGATAGCACCTGAAACAGATCCCCAGTTGGCTTCCAAGCTATCAGTTCTGCTACTTGATGCAATTGATGGAATTGCTGTCTCTTTTCATAGACTTATTAATAAAATAGTTTTTATGTTTGCAAAATTCATGGAATTGCTCTCTCTTTTCATAGACTTATTATGCCATTGCATTTGAAGATTCAATCGAACCTTTATAAACAATATATATTGACTTGGTTAAAGATTGATCGTGTCATGGAAATCTATTCTCTTCTACATTCTACAGTACGAGTACTTCTATACGTTGGTAAACTTACAGTAAAATAAACGAACATCCTGGTTAATAGAGCACGAGTTTAACTCAATAACCACCTATGTCACGACTGTGAAATGGGAGTTCTTCAAGTTTACATAGTTAGAAATTGTTTCTTTCTTGAGTCGTAACGAATGAATCTCCCTTACCATTGAATTAAAGTTAAAGTTTCTTAAATTCTTTATATTTTAGATATAAATGGTGTCTATACTTGCAGGCTGCTAGTTTATGTAAGAATAAGGCAGATCAGAAATTGTTAAAAATTGTCCTTCGTGACAAGTTGGAGGAAACAACACATGTAAGTCAATTATATATAGATGATGAACTTACTTTGTTTTTTGTTTCTTTGATAACTAATGGTAAAATGAAGATATGTGAATGTGGTTTTATACTTTACTTTTCACGATATGACTTTAAGCATCACTTTTACATTAATTTTTACATTATGATGAAAAATTAATACCACAATTGGTTTGAAACCTGTAGGTGCAATGTCAATCAAAGAAGGATAATAGCACGAAAAAGGGGCAATAAGTGGTGGTTCAAGCTTGAAGAGTTGGTGTCAACCTAGCTCTACAAATCTTTTTGCACACATTAATTTGTTTCTTCTCTTCAATTTCGATACATTTGGATATATTTATAACTCATGTTTTTAGACACAAAATGTTGGATGATCGACTTATTGTTAGATCTTAGTATTTGAATTCTAATATACTTTTTGTTTTTGGATATAAATCAAAATAAAATTGTGTATATATTATTAAAATAAGGGTGTGTGTGTGTGTGTGCATGTGTATGGTATTTGCCACACTTATAAGTGTGTCTATAGTTTTTTCATTATTTTTTAAAAAATGATATCTGCGACACTTATATGTGTGATATCTTCCGAACACATATAAGTGTTGCAAAATAAAATATTACCCGCACATGTCAAGTGTTGCAAAAACATTCATTAGCCACACTTATTTTAAAGTGCGGAAAAAAATTCCCCACATTTACGTAGCCGCACTTAGGTCATGTGTGGCAAATTTTTTTTTCCACATTTATAAGTGTGGCGAATAACTATTTTAAGTGCGCCAAAAAGCCTCTTTTAATGAAAATAGGCTTTTAAAAATAAGTGTGGTTACAAAAGGGTGCGATTTCTGGTACAGTTTGACACTGAAAAATTTTTTGCGACATGCACTTGTCATTTATTTGAGTTTCGGGGGATTGTATGTCGTCATTGTCTTGTTGTTCTCATCAGATTCAAGGTTAAGTTCCTACCCGATTAGTATATATTGGATAGATGGTGACGAGATTTGTGTCGAACGTACACGCGAGTTCCAATGGATTACGATGGCTTGTCATGTAGCCGAGAACAGACACGTTACGAGATTATGTGTACTAAATTTCAAGAATTGGCAAACTTGGTGGCAGATGATGAAGAGCATAGCAATGAGATTAGAGAATGGATTCACGACAAGGTGGTTCTTTCTCGGTCAAGGAAAGATAAAAACATCTGCCCGATGGATGTAATTATAGATGATCCCATTTTGTCAACCATCTTGGACCCCACATGTTCCAAGCGGAAGGGCGCCCCTCGTAAACTTCGATTAAAGTCAACAGTGGAGAAAAAAACTCGCAAACGAAAGATCAACAAAAAAGGGCGAGGCAATGGAGGAAAAGAAGTTCCAAGTCAACATTCAAGTGAGGCATCACCTCGTGTTCCAGTGCCACCCCAAGCATGGGAAATCCTAGGTGAGGATGGGGTATTTGAAAAGCGACTAGAAGTCATTACTACCAAGCTTGGGGTCAAATACCCCATCCTCACATGGGACTTCCCACGCTTGGGGTGGCACTGGAACGCGAGGTGATGCCTCACTTAAATGTTGACTTAGAACTTCTTTTCCTCCATTGCCTCACCCTTTTTTGTTGATCTTTCGTTTGCGAGTTTTTTTCTCCACTGTTGACTTTAATCGAAGTTTACGAGGGGCGCCCTTCCGCTTGGAACATGTGGGGTCCAAGATGGTTGGCAAAATGGGATCATCTATAATAACATCTATCGGGCAGGTGTTTTTTTTCTTTCCTTGACCGAGAAAGAACCACCTTGTCGTGAATCCATTATGTAACCTCATTGCTATGCTCTTCATCATCCGCCACCAAGTTTGCCAATTCTTGAAATTTAGTACACAAAATCTCATAACGTGTCTGTTCTGGGTTACATGACAAGCCATCGTAATCCATTCGAACTCGCGTGCACGTTCGAAACAGATCTCGTCGCCATCTATCCAATATATACTGATCAGGTAGGAACTTAACCTTGTTTCTGATGAGAACAACAAGACAATGACGACATACAATCCCCCAAAACTCAAATAAATGACAAGTGCATGTTGCAAAAAATTTTTTGTACCAGAAATCACACCCTTTTGTAGAAATCTTTACCAGAAACATCTTTCCCACAAACATCCTCATCGATTTCGTACATCATACCATTCTCACAAGAAGAAATGTCACAGTACATCTTACTTGTTAATTCCGTTCGGAATTCTATGAACTTTGCTGAAGTATAAACTTCTTGCACTTGATTCTCCATGGGGAATGTTGTCATGCAAGGAATACTTTTTCCAAAACATTGTGAATCTTCCTGGAATTCGTCCTCAACTCTCTTCCTCAATGCATGCTCGTACTAGTGGACCATACACTTTTGACATTACCAATCGTAAAATAGACACTTACTGTATATGATATGCATATCATATACATAATATGTATGTGAAAAAACCAATTTTCAGTATGAGGAACACACCCGCCCAGAATGACAATAGCAAGGTACGCAACGTTCATTTTCTAGAAATAACCCCGCTAGCCAGGAGTTATTTTCTAGTCCATATTTTGCAATCATATCTTTTCAAGCTTGATCAAATTTCTGTGTTTCGAATAAATCGTAAATACTGTTATTAAATCTCCAAAGTGTTTTGTCCTTTTCCCCATACCCGTTAAACTTCTGGTGCTTTTTTCATTATATGCCACAAACACCACCGATGTCTAGTATTCGGGAACACAATTTCAATTGCACTTTTCATCGACCTGTCTTGGTTTGTTATGATACCACGTGGTGGGATTCCATCCATGCACTTGAGCCATGTTTGAAATAACCACACAAAAGTTCTGTTACTTCGCAACAAACTAAGCCACAACCTAGAAGTATTGATTGCCCATGGTGGTTAACACCCACAAACGGTGCGAACGGCATATCGTACTTGTTTGTGAGGTATGTCGTATCAAATGTCACAACGTCTCCGTAGTACTTGTATGCAAGATGATACCTCTTATCTGCCCAAAATAGGTTTTTCAACTTTGACTCGTCATCAAGGTCCATGCTAAAAAAACTCGTCACTTTTAGCTTGCATTTTACAAAAGTATGCTTGTATAGCCATGGCATCCCCTGCACATAGCTTCACCCTTCGCACTTGCTCAACAAAGTTCCTACAATCCTTTTCGATAAAGGACAATATATCGTACCCTCCAGCTTCAACCACGGCTGAGTTAAACTCTTGTGAAGGGGGATTCCTGCTATATCATTTACCTCGAGCCTTCGTTTTATGTGGTCGGGCAACTTCCTGTTACAACGCTACATCCGTGACTTTGATGGGCTAATATCATGATTATGTTCCAAATTCGCCACTGTAATAGTAAACACACCTTCATCATCACAAGTTGCCATTACTCGAGCTGTGCAACCACAATTTGATCGGGCTTGTGCCTTTAGACAATTCTTAGATCGGCTCACCCTATTCCCTTCTCTACCACATGAGATTGTGATAGAACGTATTGTTCCATGACATCCTCTCCCCAAACTTCTCTTTTTAATGGGAAACCCCATTGCCTTTGCATAAGTATGGTAGAAATCATATATGGCATCATAATTTGAGAGCTTCATCCCAACATCGGGGACAAAGCTTACAGGTTCGGGGAGATCAGCACTTCTTCCAACAATGCCATCACTTTCATTCTCTTCATGTGTGGACAAGTTACCCACGGGCGACATGTTCACCATCGCTGTTCCTGGACAAACATTTCCAACATCAGATTACATACAAATGAATCCCAAGGCTCATTCTCTTCGGGGATTGTTAATCTTGCAAATTAATCTTACGTAAGACAGGTTCTTCGGGACAACTAACCATCACTTCTGTGTTCTTCAACACATAGCTCTCCGGACATGTCCATCTCAAAACCTAGAAAACAATATAATACCTTCATATTAATGATATTTACCATGCACGAGGGGGTGATGTTTACTTGAAACTTACAATGCCTCGTTGTGTTGTTATTTTCCTCGCACCCATCCAACATGTCAACGAAAGACATGTCAAGTACAGGATCTCCGTCATCATTGTCTATTGAATCAGTCAAAGAACAACATATCACAACACTAAAATTCCCAGTTCAAATTATCACATACAGTATATATGTTTGTTTTGCCATTCTTGAAATACCACACTGTCTGTGAAACCTTAAGCACAAACCTTAAACACATACAACACTAAATTTCCTCTGTTCCATGTATTATGTACACTATCTGTCTGTGTTGGGGTACTTTAAACACCTAATTGTGTGACAAAACTTAAGGATATAACAACCATATTTGTCAAAAAACAACAGATTTGTCACAACACTTAAGTTCCCCTATTCCAATTATTATAAACATTGTATGTCCGTGATGCTTTAATTTAAATAACATACTGCCTGTGAAAACAGAGTGACAAACAAAATAATCTTTTGCCCCATCTTCATGCTATTAAAGCTGTTTCAAGACGTCTACTACCAAATATCCTCATCCAGTTACATTAAAGGACTATTTTCCAAAAATTTTCATTCTTTAAATTTATCACACACTTTCATCTGTGTTACAACTTCATATACATCATAGTCTCTGTGTGAGTTACAAAATTGAACATTAGAATGACAGAGGTTCATATACTGTTTACTGTACGCATTAACTTACTTGCAAACATAGGAACGAACAGAGGTTCTTCGTACATTATCACGCACACACTCCTCCAACAAAGCTTTCAAGATTTACGATGAGGGAGACGGAAACCTATATATAACACTTGCAGATTTTGATGATGATTGAGGATGATGGTAGTGACAATGATGGTGACGGAAACTAACGATGACGTGCCACGGTCAGGAACATCCTACGCTGTGTACTTCTTGTGCGGGCGACAAACGATGGAGGGCCGGTGGAAGGAGGTAGTCCAGGATCGATTGCGTCAGATAAAATCTCAGAGTAGTTGGCGACAGAGGTGAGAGATCGTGCGAGGGAATGTGCAAGGAAAAAAGGTGGGAAGCAAACGTGGGTGGGTGTGTAACACCCTACCCTGGATGACCCGAGTCATCCAGACCAGAGTGCTAGTAAAACCAGGTTACTTTGTAAAATATCATTTTTCCGAAATATTCTCTTTTTGATAGCTAAAGAGAATTTAAAAAAAGGTTTTCCACGTAAACTTAAAGTAAAAACATCCACAGTTAATAGAACCTTGGATTCAAGCCCAAAAACAAAGTAAAATTTAGTTTGATGTTTTATTCATTGTTGAATATTAAATAAGAACTTCTTTGGTACGGCCTCCACGTCCATGCTTTCCTCCTCAGCAGTTGTTTCCCTTGCTGGTACCTGCGTGCAGTTAAACACTACACGCTCAGCATAAGCTGAGTGGCAAATAACCAGTAGACATATATAACATGTAAATATATTTGTTTTGGGCATTTTAAGTTACTCATGGTTTATGAGCTTTTTAAAATCATTAAGTAAATAATCTCACTTTGAAAAGATACTTGGGGACATTTAAAAAAACACTTGACCTACTAGGTTAACCACAGATTAGGAACTAAGCCGTGACTAGGCTGGAACACCGCACTAGTCGATTCGTAGTTTTACTTTGGATACCTCCCCATGACCTCGGGTCCAGTAATCAGAAGTGAACCCTAGACCCACGGGGTCATCGTCGGGTTCTCGTGCGCACGTTGTGGTATGATTATTTATAGGCTCATCCACATGGACACAGTCCGGCCTTGAAAGTGGTTTGGCCTACTTAGTAAAACGTGACAGTTCCTGGTCAGGGTACGTCGTTAAAATAACCTTGAAGTTTTTACTTCGTCCACTAACTGTTTGATTAACCGTAGTATGACCGTTTAAATAAAACACTGTGATGCCATCAAACATATATAATTTGATCTTTTTCAAAAAAAGAAGAAAATTCCACAGTCTCGTCAAATAATTCACCACTTAAACATTAAAAGTGTGTACATTTATATACACATATATTTATATGTAAAACATAACCAATCATTTATCAATCCAAGAAAATAACATACCGAACCCATTTACCTTTTTTTATATTAGTTTTCAACACCATATATTAAATAATACTAATTAAATATACTTGAAACAATTTAGTCAAAAGTATATCAATTATGTCTAAGTAGTTCTTTATAAATTATTTCGTACATAAGGGGAAAAACAAAGTAATTAAAAGGGTTTTGTTTGTATTTGACTATAACCTTTCGGCTCTCTAAAAATAACCCTTTTTGTTTGAAATTTTGTGTATATATATGTTGGATGATTTCCATATAAGTTTTACCAACAGATGTACGTGAACAAGGATTTGCTCGTGTATGAATTATTCCCTTTAACATTACCACAGACTCCCTCCGTCCCCTGTATTTGTCCACATTTGACTTTTGGAACTGTTCATCTAAGCACTTTGACTCATCAAATTCTCTCAATGTGTAAGCCTAAATATAGTCATGTGTGATCTTGTTTGGTTTGTCTTAACATATAGATTATTAATATATAATTTTTATAATTTTTTAATATACAAATTACAAGATAAAATGGATTAAAGAAGTGCATTGGATGGTGTGTAAAAATGAAAGTGGACAAATACAGGGGACGGAGGGAGTACTTGTTAGTTATGGAGTATTTTTTTTTGCTACGTACCGCCGAGAAAAAAAACATATATATAATTTATGTTTCATTCCTTATATTTTATAGCAATAGATTCAATTAAATAAAAAAAACAATAACATGCCCCAAGAACAAAAAAAAATATGAACATGGTATATATATCTAAAGGTTAGGGTCAACGGCACACCTTCGATGTCGTTAACGAAACGGTAGTCTGACAGAATCTCGGCAGCACTTCCCCGCTACGCTACATTACCCCCAACCTCACTTAAGCACCTCTCACCCTCTCCCTTCGGCCCCCCCTTAAGATCTTATTTATAGGTAAAGTAAAGGGGTGGTGAAGGGTTTAGGTAGGATTTTTAATTAATTAATTAATATTAATAAATTAGTATTTACTTATTGCCATCATGGAGATGATCAATGCATGCATTTGGGTGCCCCTTGGTTTGCTTGTGGAGTGCGTGGAGTTGAGGAGGAAAACCAAAAGTTTTCCTTCTCTGTTTGATTAGTATCACGTGTCTGATTTCCACAATTCTAATTACTAAATATTTTTAGAAAAATATAAAACGTGTATTGTTAAGTTCCATATTTTTCACACATCATTTTAACATAATCTGTTTGTTAAGAAAAGTAGATTCACTTGAACAAATTATGTGAATAGTAGAGAACCAAACTATTTTTTTTCCCTTTCACTTTACTCCGTTTTTTATCTCTACTAATAATCATTTAATATTAAATTCCAAATTGATTGTTTCTAAATAAATAATAGTACCATTTTTTTATTTTTAATTTTATTATTATCATTATTTTTTTCGTATATATTATTTTTTTTAATTACTTTTTTTTAATATTTTTCATTTCTTTGTATTAAAAAGTTAAAATTCCTAGACCGATTTTCAGGGCGTTACAGGATGGGTGTGTGTGGGTGTATATGGTGGTCATTTGGGGTATCCGTACTGTGTACCCCTAGCGAGATTGACATTACATTGCTAGTGTTGGATCCTTTTAGGGATTAAGCATGAAAAAGGGTGCACATTTGCAAAAGTGTTTTTGTTGAATTGCTTTATTGGAAAGTATTGGATTTTTTTGTTTAAAGTGTTTAAGTTAAAAGGGGAAAAAAGTTATAAATGAAAAAAATAATGTTTCTTTGGAATAAAACCACTAACATAAACATAAAATTAATAAAATTCATTCAGAGAAATATATGCATTACTACTTATTCCATAAAAATGAATGATTCAAAATAATTTTTTTATGCAAATTTATAATTTTAAATCCAAAAATATGATGTGTTCCATACCCTCCATATGTATATATGTTACACATATTAGTATGTTTGAATACTTCTAAAAACATTATTCATTAACTGTTTTGGTTCGCTTTGTTGTTAAATAATTGAAAAACTACATATATAAATATATAATGAATTAAAATATAAAAATTAGACTATAATATCTGAATAAAAAATACATTTAATGAAATATTTTATATAGTTTTTACTAATATATTTTTAAAAAAATCATTGGTCAAACATTTTGCTCAAAAAATGAACCGAAGTGTTAGAAAAAATCGGATTACTAATTCTTAAGATTAACCGCATGAAACTCGTAAAAAAACTATAAATTTAGTCACTATGTTCAATCAATCCTTTATCATAATATTTGAGTCATGTTTCTAAGATGTTGACATGTGTCATCCTACATGGCATGCTTTAAATTCTCATTTATCATTTATGAAAAATATGCCAAATGGACCCACCACATGTCGAAATTCTGTGAGCCGAGTCTCAAATATTATAGTACTAGTATTTCTACCCGTGCGATGCACGGGGTAATACACAATTTTTGTCGATTCTAAAATTTGTTCTGAAATTTATGTTTTGGAATAAAGAAAATATATTTCTCACATGATTTTTATAACAATAGGTGTAAAATGCCAAAGTAGACTTAATAATATTCGAGCAATTGAACGTAGACTGAACAATATTTATTTTAATACCAAATATTTATTTTTTTGAAAGACTTCAGGGTATACAACATTCTTGGTATGATTGCAATGGTTTTTATTGTCATCTAGAACTAATATTTTTAATCTCGTCTTTGTCATTACTCGCGAAATAGCAACATAAAGTTGATCATGTGTGAACACTCACTTGGTTAAAAATAATACCACAAATGACAATGTTTGACCTTGACTTTTGTTGATAGTCATAGCAAAACATAAGACGATTGGGAATTGTCTCCTTTGGAATTTCAAGGGTAGTCCTGGATCAGATGGTACCAAATTCATTCTTGGGATGCAAACCTTTTCCCCGACTCGATTTCCCGACACCACAATTGCACCGATAACATTGTTTCGCAGCTCTTGAACGATTAATCTGGTTCCATTACACAATCCAGATGTCTGGTCAATCTTCCTCAAAAGCATAATCGGCACCCTTTTTTTCAAAACTATTTTGTGGTTGGGGATTTCCGAACATTTGATTTCATTCAAAAACTCCGCTCTTATCCAATCGCCACCAACACCTACATCTGCATTTGATTGGCAAGAAAAATCAGAACTCAAGTACTTCTTTTCATCACCAAGAATAAGAGATAGGACAAATTTATTTATCATTTCAACTACTTCGAGAGTTTGTGCCAATAGTGCTCTATCCTCAAAAAGATAATTTTTCATATTCTCTAACATATTCGGATAAGTGAAGTCTACTATACTCTTGATAGGTGAACTTGTGTCAAGAATTAAGAATTCAGGCGGAATATCGACATCACTAACTCCATCAATCACCTGACCTAGCTTTCCATCTCATATTCTTGGACAATGTAAAAACTTTACAACGCGACCACAAATGTGAGGAACTGATAGTAGCACCTACAATTTTCTCTCTGGAAGCTCTGGGTAAAACTGGAAGGATCTACCGAAAGTCACCTCCGAGTATAACTATTTTTCCCTCCATATATATTTTCGGTATTGATTTTGATCCATATATATATATATATATATATATATATATATATATATATATATGAATTTTCATTCATAAATCTTTGTAATTGATTAATTTAAGTAAGTAATCAAGTGGTCTTGAAGTTCTATTGTTTAATACATAGGAGTTTCCATAAAACATGTCTAAAATATCAGAAAACATTATTCTAAAAATGTGTCAATTTATCAATACATTTCAAGTCCTTCAAAGGTACACCTAAGATGAAAATTAAAATGAGTTAAAGTCGTAAAAAAAGTTCAACTTGCATGAAAAATGACTATAAGATGAAGATGAGCAAAAAAATATTCATTTCAATCATGAAGCCTTTGCGGGTTATTTGATTTGATATTTTTTTAACATGCAGATGATGGAACACATCAATTAGACCACTGATATGATTAATTACTGTAAACATTCCATCCATATAATAGGAGCAAGATTGTTAGACACGAAAAATATTTTGTTAGTCACAAATATGAATTTGAAAGTTTAAGAAAAAGAGTATTATTTGATTATAAATAAGTTAGAAAATAAATTTTAAATTTCACTGACTATTTTAGAAGTTGATTTTAAATTTTATACTATTATTTTAAATTATATCAGAAGTTGAATTTATAAAATTTTTAATCAAAAATATAAATTTTAGTTTTCACTCAATTGCATAAAATTTCATGAAGGTTCTAATTTCTTCCATAATACACCCTCTGAGTTTGAATTTAATCTTCTTATTTGACTTCTCTTGGTCAATTTTGTATACTTTAACCTCGATATATAGAACATTGTCTTTCGATAGAAATGTATTACCAATAACTTTTTTTTGAAACTAATAAATCTCTTCATGTTTGGTAGCTCCTATTTTAGATATAAAAAATATGCATTTTTATTTTGGTACTTTTTCCATGTTTTATTCTTATTATGGTACCGAGTATTTGTTTTTCCGAAAAATCATAGCGGCACTTTGTACATAAGGCAAGACATATACTCCGTATACAACTTAAATTGGATCTACTCATATTTTAATTAAAATTGCCACATCATTCAAGTAGTTAATAGGTGGCAAGTGATTTGTTAAAATGTTCTCATGTAGACTCGCCACTTGTCGCAATTCTAAGAGTTTAACTCTCAAATTTAATATATTAAATTTAATATACAAATCCTTCTGTTTTTATTTAAGTAAAGTGAATATTCCAAAAAAGGTAATTATAGCCAATTGGGATGACCAATTAAAGAGTCATTAATGTTGCAATTTAAAAAGACAATATTGTTTGTTAATTAAAGTAATTTTGAGGAAAAAAAGGAAATTGAATTTGTTGAGAATTTCCGTTCATAAGGAAAGCACAAAAAACGTCTTTAATATTGGTAAGCTTATATTTATAGAAATTAAATTTAAAAAATAGGTAAAATATTGAGAAAAAAACGCTCCGGACAATATTGTTGGTTAATTAAATCAATTTTGAGGAAAAAAAGGAATTGTATTTCCGTTCATGAGGAAAGGACCATAAAAAATCATCTTTAATATTGGTAAGCTTATATTTATAGAATTTAAATTTAAAAAATAGGTAAAATACTGAGAAAAAAAACCCCGGTCAAGTTTTTTATTTTTGAAATTAAATCTAAAAACCCATTATTTTTATCTCTTTAAAACGATTTGGAAGAAAAATAGAAAATAAATTTTTAAAAAAATTCAAGGATGTCCAATTAAAAATCAAATTTAATTTGGATAAGTTTTTAATTCTAGAAATTGAATAAAAAAATTAGGTGGAATGATTGAACACCATAGCCATGACACCTTTTGATGGAAGATATCATGCAGATTTAGTTTATCCTAAATACAAATGGCGATGGAAGTTAACCTGAAGGAGACAAGTGATGAAGGCCATCGTCATCGACATCGCATTTGTTTAGATCTTCGATCTATGAATTGGAGATAAGAGTGGGAGACATTGATATTAATTCTGAATAAAATTAAAGTATCTAGCACATTTGGTTTTCGTGGCTTAACCTCTCCTTTCGTAAATGAAACCTTCAGGTTTTTGTGGCCTATTTGATAAAGTTAAGGAAATCAAAAGAGTGAATCTACTGCACATTCGGTTGACACATTTTTACTGGTGTACATGTACGGTTTACAGTAGTTCTGGTGCATTGAGTCTCCTTTATTATAATAACTAGTATTTAACCCGTGCCACGCACGGGGTCGAACGCATGTTATTTTTAACTCTTTTAAATGTTTGTTTTAAGTACATAATTAAAAAATGAAGCTAAATACAATATACAATGTTAGAATTTTAATGAATGATACAACACAAACAGAGTATGATAACTAAATTTAATGCGATATAAAATTGGAAACGAACGTATAAATGTATTAATTAAATTCAAATTTTTTGAAAAACTTCAGGATAAACCACATTTTTGGTGTAATTGCAAGGGTTACCATTGTCATCTAAAACTAACATTTTCAATCATTTCTTAGTTTTCACTCGTGAAACTGCAACATAAAATTGACCGTGAATGAATACCGATTTGGTCTAGAAAAATCCAATAAATGATAATGTTTGGCCTTGACTCTTTGTCACAGAGTAATTGTACGATGTTAAGTTTTTATATTGAATTATTTTCAACCTCTAACATATTAATAAATAAAATATATATTGTATATTATTTAGATGAAATAATATTTTGATATTATTTTATATAAGAAATGTAATGGAACTAATTTCGTATCAATATGTACTACTTTTTTTATTAAATCTAGAGTCAAATTTTAACAATTTTGACCGATTAAAGTCAAAATTAGAGAAATACTCCTAGAGGGAGTGAATACCAATTTGAATTTTTATAAAATTTATATTATACTCCCTCTGTTCATGAGTTTTTCCAAAGTCAAATTTGACTTTTTTTCTCTCATAATTGGTAAACTTTGACATAAAATTAAAAGAATTGATTATAGTTATTGTTACAAAAATAGTTTTATTAGATTTATTAGGTCAAACATTTTTAAAATATTATTTATCTTATTAATATACAAAATATATTTTATTTAATTATACGTGAAAGGTTCAAAATTAGAGAAATATTCCTAGACCTAGAGAGTAAAAATTTGAATTCTTATGAAATTTATATTATACTCCCTCCGTTCATGAGTTTTTCCTATATCAAATTTGACTTTTTTAAGACATAATTGGTAAATTTTGATATCAAATTAAAAAAATTGATATTAGATATTGTTACATACATGGTTTTATTAGATTTATTACATCAAATATTTTAAAAATATTAATTATCTTATTTATATACAATATATATTTTATTTAATTATACGTGAAAGGTTCAAAATGATTGATCGAAAAAAGTTAAAATTCGAGAAATATTTTTGGACGGATGTAGTATATATTAATTCAAACATTCCACAGATTGCCCAAAAAACAATCAAAATTTACTTATTTTTGTAATTTAGGTAGCGTAATATATTACCTTTTTGAAGTTATTTTTTTATAGTTGCTAAATCTCTTCAACTACGTATGTGCAGATAATTTTTAAAATCTTTCATCTTGAAAAACAAACATAAGACTCACATAAATTATTCTGCAATGTAAACCGTTTTTTTAACCTTACACAATTACATATTCGTAACACAATTCATGTTCTTAAAAGTAATTTGATATATTTAAAAAGAAGAATAGAGAAAATAAAAATGAAAGAAATTGTGTTTGAGTATTATGGGTTTGTTTGGGAATAGCGTTAGAGATTAGCGTTAGCGTTTTGGATAAAATTTTAACGGTGCATATTATTTTGAAAACGCTAACGCTAAACGCTGCCCGTAGATAGCCTTTTCAAAACGCTAACGCTAATCGCTAATGCTATTCCCAAACATGCCCTATATTTAGTGTCTATTGGGGATCCCACATTTTCACCCAATAAGTGATTCTTAGAGTAATTATTTGAGTTCTTTGAATGTATGAATAAACACTTGTAGCCGAAAAAGACACTAATGATGTTTCTTTGCTAAGAACACTGAATATATTAAATTTCTTCAAAGTAAACAATACATTGATGTTTACTCATAATAGAGCTTTATTTGTTACGTTTAAAACAATCCAAAATCATAAACCACATAAACTGCTGAACACAATAATTAAATCAAAACCAAATAAACCAACAATCTTAGAATTGAAACCATAAAACTAAAAATCTAATCTTAGTCTTTCTCTATTTTAATATTCTTCACCTTCTTGCCTGACTCATCCCCACCCACATCACAATGCTCCAGCTCTTTCATTCTTTTGTTGATATTAGAATTAGTGATAACATCTACACTCTGTTCCAACGCATTATCCTTAGACTCTCCAAAATCTTCTATCAAATTCTGCAAGACAAACAACAAAAAAACCAAGAGAACTTGAATTAATAACTACTGATGCTTCATTTGGATTCCCAACTCTGTTTGAAATTACTGCATTACATATAAAGGATTTGCCTTCAAAGCATTGACATATCCCTCTGGTGAATAATGCCAAGCTCAATTTTGATGGGTAAAGCACATGTTAAGGTTTCTTTTTTAATTTTTAATGCATTAGAGATCAGCTCGTTACCCATGTGATTTTTGTACTTCTGGCCTCACAATATGTCCAGGTACTTTGATGGGTAAAACACATGTTAAGGTTTCTATTTTAATTTGTAATGCATTAGATATCAGCTCATTACCCATGTGTTTTTTGTACTTCTGGCCTCACAAAATGTCCAGGTATTTACCATGTATTCATATGTATCAAAAACAGTGACTTGCATATCTTTTAAAAGCAGCTAGGATTTGAAAGTCACAGCAACTGAAGGCAAATCCTTTATATGTAATGCAGTAAAGGTATGCAGTAAAGGTCATTAAGGTTTTTATTTTAATTTTTAATGCATTATAGATCAGCTTTACATGTGCTTTACCCATCAAAGTACCTGGACATTCTTAATGCTAACCTACTGCATTACATATATCCCATTTGCCTTCAAAGCATTGACAATAGAGGAAAATCCTTTATATGTATCAAAAACAGTGACTTCCATATCATTAAGAATGCTGCAATGATTTGTCTCCAGTTGAAAGTCCTAAAGTTACATCAGTCTATCACCAAGTGAGTGTGATAAATCAGATTTTTGTGAGCATTTTATAAACCATACGTGACTATACTCTAATAAAATACCACTAAATCCAGATTTACGTTGATAATATATGTTATCAAACCTGGACAAAAAATAAAGCACAATTCGTTGCTTTGAATTTCGAGATGGTTTGCTCATTAAAATAAATGTCAATCACATTATATGAAGGATCAAACTCATTGAAGTGTGCACGCCTGACCTCAACTTTGAAAAGAAATGACTTATCTATCAAAAGTGTATTAAAGACATCTGGTTGTACGTCTCCACCCGACACATCATGCATGACAAATTTTAATAAATCATCAATCGATGATGCCACTGTAAGATGAAATCACTTATTTGATCAAAGAAAGCACTAAAATACCCAAGGTTTCTATATACACTTCAAAAAACTTATGTAGAAATTTAACGTAAAGTCATGAACGTATGAGGCAATTACTAAGTACGGAGTAGTAAAGACGACAGGTGTAATTTTTTTGGCTCTCACAAATATTCCCATGACTTATCATCTAAACTAACTGGCATTAGGTCAGCATGTCCACACATATAAAAATAAGCATGCCATACTCTCCAGTTCATTAGAAAGATCCAAAGTATTATTAAATTAAAATTAAATTAAAATTACATACCTCACAATAGTTCATCATTTCAGCACATGACTTATGGAGAATCAAATATCCTACATTCTCAAATAGTACAAAAGTAGCACTGTCTGATGTGCCAATGACTCTCATCTTGATTCGATACCTATTTCATAATTAAACTTATGATTTAGTTAAAAGAAAAACTATCAACATATAAAATAATAAGAGTGAAAGTTTATTAAAACATAAATCTTGGGATTAGATTCACCACACGTTTCATACAGTCAGTGCAATGGTAGGAGCCACTTCGTGGGACCACCTCAGACCCACATCTACACGTTGCTATAAACCAATCAGAATCAACACTCTTGATTGTTCTGTACACTGCATATTCACCGTCCTAAGAAGAAAACATGGTCAATTTACGCCATTGTTCATTACTGCCAAGGGTATGCATTCATTGTAATAGATATAGCTTACCTCGGTACAATATTTTAATGACTCTATTTTCATGGCCTTAGTAAATTTAATAAAGTCTTCATCCACGGAATACATCTGTGAATGATTCAACCAATTTTTTTTCCATTTTTTGGAGAAACACCCTCCATAAATCGTGCAAGGACGGTTGCGTCATGACACACCTTTGAGACCCTAAACGATTGCTCGAGACGTCCTCTGAACATAGATTCCACCTCCACTTTAAACATGAAACTTTTAACCATCAAAAAATCACCAAACTCTTTAGGACTTTCAGTACTTCCATCCTAAATTTTTTGACAAAATGAAAGATATTAGCGGTTCAAAGATTCAATAATTAAATTCAGGCGTTAAGATGTATTAAATATCTTCCTGTAAAGAGAATGCGTACTGCATCAGTCTTTTCCAGCAAGAGGGAGCATGACGTATTTAGAATGGAGCACGCTTCTTGGTCAAACAACACGAACGTAGTTGATCCGGAATCATCTTTAACGGCTAGCTTGATTAAATATCTACAAAAAGACAGTTTTAGCATTGTGCCTAAGGTCACAGAAAGGTATATAGATGGACAACAAACATATGATAAACTCAACCCTTGGGGTGACATTCATAACACGACACGCGCAATGCATGCAATAATAGTACATCGTACCATCAGCTCTCACAGCTCTATTACACTTGCAAGCCAAATAGAACCAATCCCCACCACTGTTCACCGAGTCAACAGTGGCATACACTACATAGGAACCATCATGTTGGAACAGAAATCATATATTGATTTTTAAAAAAATCATCAGAATAAATTACTCTAAGCCTGAAGGTGTTTGATTCTAATAGACGTACACAGATCCTTCCTTACTTCAACTCTGAAAAGTTCCAACCAAGCTTCTACGGACTGTGGCATAGATAGTACTCCCCTTCACATTTTTGCAAACCAAAAGCACCGAATTGGAGTGGGAGACATTGATATTAATTCTGAATAAAATTAAAGTATCTAGCACATTTGGTTTTCGTGGCTTAACCTCTCCTTTCGTAAATGAAACCTTCAGGTTTTTGTGGCCTATTTGATAAAGTTAAGGAAATCAAAAGAGTGAATCTACTGCACATTCGGTTGACACATTTTTACTGGTGTACATGTACGGTTTACAGTAGTTCTGGTGCATTGAGTCTCCTTTATTATAATAATATAGGATAGGATAGGATAGGATAGGATATAGGATATAGGATAGGATAGGATTGACTCTATTACGGTTACCTAATAATTATTAGATTTCTTCTTTTTTAAAAAAAGAAAATTTCCAACCTGGAATATACAGTAATATATAGTGTGTGAGACTCCTTGAGCCAAACCATATATATACATTAGTCAATAAAAACTGACCTTAAAGGTTATTTATAATTTTTGAAAATCAAGTTATATAGTGTGTGGGTTCTCACAATTATGGCAATGGAATGTTATTTTATAAAGAAATGAAAACTAACATAAATATACTTTGTGCTGTGAGACTTAGTAAATCATTAAACAAAAAATTCTAGTAAGTCTTTAATAACCTGGTTTGAAAAGATGTTGACTTCAATTGCTTTTAAGTTATTTTATATTTTCAACAAAACCACAAAATCCTTAGCATGATAAGTGATTTTTTAAGGATTTGGTGTAGCACAAAAACTACTATGAACTAGTTTTCTACCCCGTGCTTCGCACGGGCTGAGGATGTTTTCACGTGTCTATTAATTAAGATTATCATAGTTGGACTTTTTTGATAAAACTATGTAACACTTTGATTACAAATTAAACACAGTTTTAAATAATTAAATATCATAAAAATTTGATATATGAAAAAAATATTTTAAATGGACACAATTTTTAAAAATTTACACACTTTATGGTCAAAATAGAGAGCAACTTGACCAAATATATCAAATTGTTATTAAATGATATACTAATGAAAATTGATTTAACTAATGAAAAAAATAAAAATGCCAAATAAATTAAGGTAATGATAAATCATTGAAAAATACATATGCCGTATATGGCTTATATGCCATGTGTTATACTTCAAGAAAAACAAATTAATTTAATTTAATTTGTTAAAATGATATATAGCAAATTAAATAATGTTACACATAAAACATTTTGAAATGAAATACAATATATAGTTAATAAAATATAGTTATTTGGTAAAATAACAATATAAAATAAATGGTGGATTGTTTATATATATATATATATATATATATATATATATATATATATATATATATTAGTTCTTTTTCTGGCTTTGCACAGGCTCGCATGTATTCTAGTATTTTAATATTTGACATCTAAAAAATATTATTTATTTTAATTATTTAATATGATATATGAAGTTTATAAAATAAAAAATTAACTTGAAAAGTTTTATACGAACTAAATGATCACTGAAAAAATAATAAAGAAATAATTTTTAATTAAAAAATTAAAATAAAAAAATTCAAATGAATCAATTAAGTAATGACACATATGAGAAAATACATATATGACATAAAACATGTATCATCTTTTGTCAACTCTAACTTTGTTTTGTCTAGTTTGTTGAAAAAAATATAGATAGCATACTAAAATATACTTCGTAGTATGTAATAAGATAAAAAGTTAGAAGTAATTTTGTATTTAATAAATATTTATATATATATTATAAAAATGTTATAATACTGCTTTGAAAATTTAAAAACAATAAATGTTCTATTTGCTCAATAATAATTGTTATTTTGTGCAAGAAAGTGAAGGGTTTATAAAACTATAATAAAAATAAAACTTATTTAATGTACAAAAGTAAAGGTTTTTCATGAAACTTTAATAATAATAAATATATACATGTGGCATGACACATGCACGCCGAGGTGTAATGCACACGTGACCTAAAAATTTTATACAAATGTAATGGTCATCAAATAGAATAATAATGAAAAATGTTTTAATTAATAAAAATTAAAATTAAAATGTCAAATAAATAAATTAAGTAATGACACATCATTAGAGAATGCATATCTGTCATGTGCCACATGTAATCCATCAATTAAACTTTCACTTTATTTAGTTTGCTAAAAAAAATATATAATAAAATAAAACAAAATGTTGAGATTGTTATGAAGTTAATAAATATGCATGTGTGATAAAATTTATACTCCGTATATAATAGTTTCTTTTGAGACACTGGATAATTTTAAAAATTATTAGAAACATTTTTTTCTTAATTAATAAATTTTATAATTTTTTTTAATATTATAAAATAGTCACGCATATTAAAAAAATATTTCTAAAATAGTTAGAAAGTGAAAATTTAATTAAAAAAAGAATATAAATAAGGATTTTTTATTGTTGGAAAGTGAATGGTTTATAAAATATAATAAAAATAATAATTTAATGCAAAATTAGATATGCTTGTGTGGAGTGACATGTGTCTTGTGATTTACATGTGGCATGACAGTGGTATGCACGTGTGGCATGACACGTGTCATCACCACAAGTGTGTAACTCCCTTTTATATATATACTAGTATTTGACCCGTGCCACGCACGGGTTCAAATGAACGCTTTTTTTTTTTTGCTTTATTTTCTTTCATTGTAACATGATTAAAAAATCAAACAAAATATAAATTACGAAATAAACATGTCAATGTCTTATTTAAATATTGTATTTTATATATAAAACATCGAGTACAAATTTTTTAGGCTTTGTTTGGAAGAATGTTTTCAGTTATGATATCATTTTAGATAAAATTTTAATAGTAGTGTACATTAATTCAAAAAATATTGACACTAAGATCTACCATTACATAACATTTTCAAAATGCTAACCTATATTGCTGCTATCAAATAGGTCCTTAATTAAATTGTTGGCTTGTTGCTTTCATCTAAAACTACTACTTGCAATCATAATTTTGCTTTCACTCGCGAAACAACATAAAATTTACCGTGGATAGATACTTGCCAAAGAAGAAATGAGTATTTCAAAATTTTATTTGCGGGACATAAACCGTTAGTAATTGTTTTCAACATTTTCTTTTCTTTGGCATGAACTACAAAGAAATCAGGTGAATTAAACCCGCTAAATTTTAGATCAAAAGGGTGCAACCATAACGATATGTGAGTATACCAAATTAACAACGTTCCTTCAAAAATATACAAAAACCTTGAAGGCATATTTTCAACCTCTGGTGAACTCAATGTGATTCAACACTGAACATCAAGGTATACTCCCTTTCCGAAGTAATTTGGTCTGAAGGTATGCCCTTTAGAGATTAATTGCATCTGCAATAGTTATATTTGGCTTCCAACCATTGAAAGAGAAAATGGGAGTGTAGATTTCAACACGAGCCTGCAGCAAACAACACTGGATCTATAGCCTTAAACTTCATCACTAATAAAAAATAAATACACCAAGATTTTTGGGCAGCTTTGAATGAAAGGAACTTAAAAGCAATCAAATACGAAGTATATATAATCAAACTACAAACAGAAGTTGCCTAGACAAACAACATCACACTTTTCGACCGACCTTGTTAGCAAAATACCCAACTTTCTTTTCATTCCACCTCTCTAATATGCATATTGATAAAGAAAAAAATTTTGGACTCCAAGAAGAGGGCAGACGATATTACGCACGCAAACACCAACCGTAATAAACTTTTCTAAGCATAAAATTATAAAACCATATATTTCGGTTGCAAAAGCATAAAATGAGGAAAACAAATCTTTCATGGCAAATGTCAGTGAATTTGAGCTGCCAAAGGACATTAATACTACTATTACAATACAAATTTTGAGTCTTGAACTGGGTTCAAAAGAGTAAGTTTTTTTCCAATCAAAAACGGGTATCAATTTGCTAATAGCTACATGTAATATATGGGTACACTGAGCTTGGATGGAGGCTGGTCTACCTTCATGGTATCACATCAACTAACAACAAACATACATAAAGAAGAGACAATGCCAGTAGGAAGATATTCAGGAAGCAATTGAATGGAGATGTTTCTAATAGACTGAAATTGGCATAAGATGCATACGTACTTATCTTATAAACTTCATTTTGGCATGGACTGTATTGATAGATGTATTATTGTTTAAACTTTAAAGTGCTCTAGCAATAATCAGAAGCATTCCTCCTTCATTGTATCAAACAAAGAATGCATCACAATTAGTTATTATGAAAAGTTCTTATATTCAATCCACTACCCTTTCACTGTCTCCACTATACACTGAGATTTTATGTTACATAAGAGGTTCAAAAGGCAGGGTGATATGAAGACAACTACTGTCAAAATTTGCGAAGGAATTCATCACATGATGCCTATCACCTAATCATTCATCTTAATTAGGGGTAACATATCCTAAAATGTTCCTAAAAGTATAATGCTAAAAATACCAAATTGATATGAGTGTCTTTTCAAGTACTATATGAACCTAAAGTTAGGTTCCTAAAAAACCAAAAAAAATAAAATGCAAGCACTCATTTTGACATTTTCTCAAACACTTTGAAGGCATAACACATGTTCAACTTTTACATTGAATTTAAGTTTAAGAGTAAAACTTCAAAGTTAACAAATCTACATTAATGTAAACATTAACATATTAAAATCATTTTTTACACTATGCATAATTTTTAAAACAATTTTTTATATAATATGTGAAAATTAAGGTAGAATTGATCAATTGAAGATGGTATGCACGATAGAATTGAGGAAGAAGAAGAATTAAGCATCAATTTAGGAAAAAAACCGATGACCGAGAATACCTAATTGAGGGAAGAATCGGCCGAATCCAGCGTTCCCTTTGAAAGAATGCAGAGCTAATTTCCTTTTGTGAGAGTTTCCTTCTGATGTGAGAAATTACCATTGCACTTCGTGTAGCCTTGAATAGATCGGAGAAATCGCGAAGACCATGCGATTGACTGGGGAGGCAGAATCGGCAATCTCCTTCTTTGGGAAAGGCTTAAATGGAAGATGGGTTAATAAGAAGACACGTGTAAACTGATGTGGGAGTAAAATAAAACCTTTCAAATGACACGTGTCAAAATTCTAAGCTATCAACTCTCAAATATTATATTAAAAAATATATATAGGATAGGATATGTAAGTATCAACTTTTGCGATGATTTTAGCTATAGTTCCACAGTGATTATTTGTTCGTTGCATCATTGATGGAATACTACCCATCTAATCTCATTGCTTAATATAGTTTTACATCATATGACTCTTAAAAGATAAGCAAATATCGACATTCACACACACACCAACCTACTCCCAGGACAAATATGGATGTGATGATATTTTAATTAATGAATCAATTAAGCCAACAAATTTCCCCCAATGATCTCATTATCCCTAGTGACCTCTAGATGAATATTAAGTTTAGCATTTCTCTTTATACACCTGTCTTTCTCATACCTTTAATTATTAGACAACAATAAAAATACTTTTTGAAAACTTTGTCAAAACTGCATTTCTCACTAATAGGAATCATGATTTAAATTTCATAATTGGGTAACGAGTTATATTTAGAGCGAGCAATTAAAATATTAGTTTACTCCTCAAATACGTAATCTCTTTAAATAAACTTTGTAGTAAAGCAACTTATTAATTCATAGTTAGACTTTTGATATGCTATAAATAGTAAATGTAAACCAATAATGATTATCTCTATCAATAAAAAGTATATTCAAATGTACGTAGGTGTATGAAAGCACAAAAAACACCTCAAACTATCAAACCTTTTACAAATGACCATCTCAAGAGATCTTCCCCAAGAAACCTTACTAAAGAAAGTATTTTGAACGTTAACCTTGGCTTGAGATTAAAAGCAAGAGAGCAATTTATACATCTATCATCTATCACATTGCTAGATTTCCTTACAATATAGTCTTTCTTTATTGAAAGTTCAGTCAAAATTCATGCTTGAACAAGCTCTTAATTGATCTATTTGACATTTTAATTTTAATTTTTACTTATTAATTAAAACAATTTTCATTATTATTTCATGAAAGAAAAACTAGAAGTTAAGAGTTTGAGCTCTAAAGAACAGGCTCTTAATTGATCTATTTGACATTTTAATTTTGATTTTTATTAATTAAAACAATTTTCAATATTATTTTATTTGAAATCCATTAATTTTGCATAAGATCTTTACGCCACGCGTGCACTAGACCTCGCCTGGCCCGCCCAATCATTTTAAAAGGCCCTGTGCTATTTAGTACTTTTGGCTCTAAACTTTTTAAATTAAAATAAAAGTTGTGATAATGCAAATGTATCAATATTGGTGATTCTATTAAAAATAATATACGGAATAATAAACTTCAAGTCTTTTCATCAGTGGAGCGATAAAACCTAAGAATTGCACATGTCGCAATGCAAGTAGTTTGAATAATAACTTTTTCTTTAGAATTTGCTTTTGTCCAAAAAAAGTTAACTTGCAAGTAGAATCACTTTTAGAATTGAAGAAACAAAATAAGAAATAATTCATTAATAATTAAAAATCAATTTAAAATTGGATTTTTAAAACTGAATTAAGTTCTTAAAACTGAATTTAGAAATGAAAAAAGTAGATCAATTTTAAAACAAATTGAAGATGAAAAAAACAGAAAACAAAACAGATTAGTTCTTAAAGAACTGAAAATAAAAAATTATTAAAGATGCAGCCTATAAATGAAAAAACAACCACAATTGACACAAGATTTGAGAAGGAATTGAAGAGCCTAGTTGAAGAACAAAGAAGGTAGAAGGAAGAGTCTTAAACAACTTAATTGACTTGAGATTGGGCCCCATCATTTTGGAGGCCCTGTGCAGGAGCACCTCTTGCACTCCTCATTGGGCGGGCCTGCCTAGTGTCATGCCATATGTATATACGGAGTATTTATTATTGTTAATTTTTTATAAAAAAACCTTCACTTTCTTTCATTAAAATACTCCGTAACTTTTATTTTTGTTAAAGTTTTATAAGCTTCACTTTCTTACACAAAATAATCATTATTGTTAAGAAAAAAATAGAGCTGGCAAATCAGTCGGTCAGGTCGGGTTCGGGTTCGGTCACTTCAAGTTCGGGTTATTTCGGGTTCGGGTCAATTCGGGTTCGGGTTGAGAACTGTATGTTCATGACCCAGTGTCATCGAATTCGGGTCGACCCAACGGGTTATGACTTTGGTTTTTTAAATTTTTAAAATCACATTAACGCTTACATTTTCTATTAAATAAATTTAAAATATCAAAAAAAATATTAAATCTATAAAATTATTTTATTTTAAACTCTAAAGTAGTTCTAGATATATAAATCAATATAAGGAATTTAAAAATGCTTAAGTTTTGGAAAAAAGTAAGATAATTATGCAATATCATTAAAATTTTGTCTGAAAATATAAATTTATACACTAAAAACGAGTAAAAAATTGTATAATTTTGAAAAATTCTTACTCTAGCGGGTCGGTCAGGTCGGGTTCGGGTTCGGTCGGGTTTGACCCATTTTTAGCGGGTCATTTCGGGTTCGATCAACTTCGGGTTCGGTCATCAAAACCTTTGTTCAAAACCCAGTGTTTTCAGGTCGGGTTTCGGGTCAAAAACAGGTCGGGTCGCTTTTTGCCAGGTCTAGAAAAAACCATTATTGTTATTAAAATTTCAAAACTGTATTATATATATATATATTATCACATATAATATTTATTATATATAAAATTTACTTTAAACTTTTTATCCTATTACATACTACGAAGTATATTTTAGTATACGATGTAAATTTTTTCAACAAACTAAGCAAAGCAAAGTTAAAGTTGAAAGATGATACGTGTTGCATGTCATATACTCCCTTCGTCTCAAAATATTCTTCCGCGTTTGACTTGACACAACTTTTAATGAAGTAAAATGTTGGTGATTGTGGTTTGTGTAAAGGAATGTTACACCATTTTTATAAACTTTATTTATCTTTTAAAAAAAGAAAACTTGATGTGGTTTTTAATAAACTATTAATCATTTTCCTTTTTACAACATCTCAAAATAAAAGTTTATATAAATTTTAATACATGTCATCAATATTAAAATTAAAACTTTTCTCTCAAAAGAAATATTTTAGTAGTTAAAAAATATTTATCAAATACATTATATATATCATTATTATAAAATTATACTACGAATACATTATTTATCAAAATTATAATAGTTAGAAAATATTTATCAAATACATTATTTATCAAATATTTTATTTTTAGATATAAAAATTTAGAATAGATGTACCCACTGGCATATTAAAATATATGCCAAGCACTGCGTTGATACTAGTTGTAATTGCGCAAATTATACCATACAACCGGTTGTACCCAAAATTGGGTACAACCGGTAAATCAAAGAAGAAAAGGTGTCGATCGGAGGAGAAAAGAGGTGCTCGTAGTCGGGTCGGGTCGGAGGAAGGAAGCTGCGTCGAAGAAGAGCTGCGTCAGAGATCGAGAGGAAGAAAGCGGTTGTATGGAAGGGAGATGTGCACGGTCGATAGGGGAAGCTGTTGATAGGCCGGAGGAGAGATGGGAGACGATCGATCGATCTGGATCGGAGGAGAAATCCCAAACCTGGAGGAGTCGGTTGATCTGGATGGGAGGAAAGGGGTTGCAGGTCTGGTGAGAGAAAAAAGAAAAATATTTATGATATGGATTTTATTTATTTGAGAATGAACATTAAATTTTTTAAGAATGAGCTATTTTATTTCAGAATGTACATTACATTTTTTGTAGATAACTTTTATAATTGTATTGAATAAATTTGTAAAAATGAATACTACATTTTTCATAATTAGTACTACATTATAGTTATGTTTGTGCGAGAATGAATATTACTTCACTTCGGAATGAGTAGTACCTGTATGTAACTGGTTACATCCAGTTGTACGACATAAGAACTCTTGTAATTGTAAAAATGCATTATTAGTTTATTACTCCCAGCTCTTGTTGAGAAAATTACTCGCGAGTGACGCGAGTTTTGTCGAAATAACTTTCAGGTCCCTCTATTTTCAAAAAGACAACCGAGGTCCTTATATTTTGTTGTAATGACTGCGAGGGGACATTTCATCCAATACATCATCCGTAAGTGTTAATAAATGTATTTTTTTCCTATTTTTCCAATACTTTTTTTTCCTATTTTGCCATTACCTTGTTTTTTCTTTTTTTAAAATTTTTTTATTTCATTTGTTTTAATATAATACAAACAATTTTGAATTTTTATACGATTTTATAGAAGAAATTCTCAAATAACACTTTAAAAAATAGTAACAAAATGTAAGAAAAACAAAGAAATAAAAAAAGGAGCGACCTAAGATTTGTTACCTTAAAACATTTAGAAAAGAATAGGAAAAAAATATATTTATTATATTGGATGACCGGACCTGTAATTTTCTCGCTCTTGTTGCGATTTGAAAGAAAAGCTACCACCGTAGGAGAGAATCGAGACTAGACGGAGGGAAGAGGCAAGGCTGCTAGGGTCCGTCGATCCATATTTCCGATTCCCCGTCTCAGATTCAACGATTCTTCAGGTGCAAATTCTTCTATTTATTCTTCTCGTTTTGTTTTGTTTTTTTTTTTTTGAATTTCTTCTTTGAATGCTCAATTTGTTTGGCGTGAAGAACCATTGAACCAAATTTTAAATTTTAATTATGCGCAGCCCAAAAAAGAATATGCTCAGCCCCGTTAAAAAAATGCAAAGTGTTGGCGCGGGTATTGAGTTATCGCGATTGGAAATTATGCGTTGTCTGGTAAAAAAAATCTTTTAGTTATGCTTTGTTTGTTGACTCCAATAACAACAACAACCCAAGACAATCCCACTGAAGTAAGGTCAGGGAAGGTGTGTGTAGACCTTACCTCAACATGAATGTAGAGAGGTCATTTCTAAGAGACCCCAACTCAAGCAATACTGAAAGTACAATGCAAGTCACCAAGATTAAAAACAGACAAAGGGAACGAAAAGCACAAGACAAGAAGCTCACAAACACAATGACAGGAGAAAAAAAGAGAAAAAACTACCTGATGGGAATTAGCCCAACAACTATGGCGGCAAAGAACGGAT